GGGGGGTACTAGGCTGCTATGCCCGTCCTTTTTGTAGTTTGGGGGGCCTCAAATCCTCAAGCACAGCAGTCCTGTGACTAGAGTTGATGTAAAAGGTGAACCTCTGTGCCATCCCTGCTCAGACTGGCACGCACATGTTCACCTGTACATGACTAGGGCAGACTTTAGTGATGGAAAGGCTTCTTTAACACGGCTTTTTTGGCTTTACTCGTTAAAGACCTCATGGCATCTAGTAGTGCTACGTCTGCAAGACCGGGTGTAGCACATAGTTGATATTCAATAGATGATTGAATAAACATATAATTGGGAGTATTTACTACTCTATAAGGAGGGAGGAAAATTCATGAATATTTTCCACTCAAGGTCAGAAAGGAAAAAGCCTCCTGCCTCATTACACATGTCTTGCCTCCCCAGGTCTGACCTATCAGAAACATGGCAACCAGTGCCGTCCCCAGTGACAACCTCCCCACGTACAAGCTGGTGGTGGTGGGAGATGGGGGTGTGGGCAAGAGCGCCCTCACCATCCAGTTTTTCCAGAAGATCTTTGTGCCTGACTACGACCCGACCATCGAAGACTCCTACCTGAAACATACGGAGATTGACAATCAGTGGGCCATCCTGGACGGTGAGACATGGATGGTAGCCCTGCATGGGGGTGGGGCACGTGACGCGGAGGGTCAGAGGAAGTTGACCAACTTCCCTGGGGCGGATAGTGTCTTTCACGTTGTCATTATGGGATGGTCGGTGTCAGGCTGTGTATGTTTTCCAGGGTGAATTCTGAATAGCTTTGTGGCAATGAAAATGCGTATTCAACAAAGAGGCTAGCATCGTGCCAACCCAGTGATGTCATGTTTGTTATTTCTTGCTGATCTGAAGCTCTGATTAACATTTACAGATGTCTCTGGCTCCTAAAAAAATGGGGAAGAGACAAACTATTTTTTAGCGAGCATAGTTTATTTCCCTTTGAGAGGGGGAAATCTTGCATTTGACATTGTTTCTAGTGTAGTCTAAATTGGTCTAGATTAGCAATTCTCAAATTGTGGTATCCAGGCCAGAAGCCTAAGATTACCAGGGAGCTTCCCAGAAATGAAAACCCTCAGGCTCTACTGGTTCAAATTCTGAGGGTGGAGCCCAGCAATCTGTGTTTTAACAAACCCTCCAGGTGATGCTAAAGTAGAGAACCGCTGCTCCAGATTCTAACTGGTTATGACTTTGTACTGAGTCTCTCTTTTAAACAAAGAGCCATTAAGGATAGACTGTAATTGTAGGAAGCGAGCTTTGAAAGCCACTGGGATGCACTATCAGATATGTGATTTGCAAGTATTTTCTTCCAGTCTGTGACATGCTTTTCATTCTCTTAACAGTGTCTTTCAAAGACTAGAGCTTCTAATTTTGATGAAGTCCAGTTTATCAGCTTGTTCTTTTATGGATTGTGCTTCTGGTCGTGTCTAAAATATCTGCCTAACCCAAGGTCACAAAGGTTTTCTTCCTACGTTTTCTTCTAGCAGTTTAATGGCTTTAGGTTCTGTATTTAGCATTAGGATCTACCTTGACTTAATTTTTGTATATGGTGTGAGGTATGGAGCAAAATTGTTTTTAGGGCGGGGGGAGTTGGGGGTTTGTTTTTTTGTTTTTTTGGTATATGGAGATGCAGGTGTTCCAGGGCTATTTGTTGAAAAGGTTCTTCTTTCACCACTGAATTGCCTTTGTACCTTTGATGAAAATTAGTTGCCCATATATTCTGTTTGTTTGACCTATCCATCTATCTTATCACCAATACCACACTGTCTTGATAACTGTAGACTGATAACAAGTCTTAAAATCATGTATTGTTAAGTCCCCAAATTTGTTCTTTTTCAAAGTTGCTTTGGCCAGTCTAGGTCCTTTGCATTTCCATATGAATTTAAGAACCAGTTAAATTCTAAAATTCTAGATTTTGATTGAGATTGTGTTGAATCTAAAGATCTGCACATTTGAGAAGAATTGACATCCTCATAATGTTGAACCTTTCAACCCATGAATACGGTATTTCTCCATTTTTATTTAGGTCTTCTTTATTTTTTTTTATTTATTTTTTATGAGAGAGAGAGAGAGAGAGAGCGTGCGAGTGTGAGTAGGGGAGAGGGGTAGAAGGGGAGAGAGAAAAAATCCCAAGCAGGCTCAGTATGGAGCCTGACTCGGTCTCGATCCAACGACCCAGGGATGGTGACCTGAGCCGAAATCAAGTGTCAGACACTCAAGCTCAATTGACCAAGCCATCCAGGCACCCCTAGGTGTTCTTTAATTCTCTCATCAGTTGTTTTACAGAATTGATTGCATAGGTCTTTTACCTATTTTGTCAGATTTATGTCTACAATCTGTATTATAAATGATATTTTTTTATTACAGTTGTCACTCGTTTGTTGGTAATATGTAGTAATGCAGTTGCATTTTGTGTATTAACTGTAACCTGCAACCTTGCTAAATTCACTTATTAGTTCTGGTGGCTTTTTTGTAGATTCCTTTGGGCTTTCTGCAGAGATGGTCATGTCTGCGAGTAAAGGTAGTTTTACTTCTGCCTTTGCAAACTGGATGGCTTCTGTTTCTTTTCCTTGCCTGATTTTACTGACTAAAAACATACTTGTCCTGTTCTTGATCTTAAGGAGAAAGGTTTCAGTCTTTCAGCAATAAATAGGATGTTAGCTGTAGGTTTTTTATCGATTCCCTTTATCAGGTTGAAGAACTTCCTATTACTAGTTTCCTGAGAATTTTTATGAGGTGTGGATATTGGATTTTTGTCAAATGCTTTTCTGTGTCTACTTAGATACTCATACGGTATTTCATTTTTAGTGTGTCATTTTGGCAAATTATGTTAATTTTTATAATGTTAAACCAACATTGTCTCCCTGGGATAAATCCCACTTGGTCATGATACTTTCTTCTTTTATGTAATGTTGGCTTTGACTTGCTAAAATTTTGTTTAGAATTTTTGTGTGTATGTTCTTGAGAGCTATACTGGCCTGTGGTTTTCTTGTCATGCCTAGTAATGCTAGCATTATAGAATGCATTGAGAAATATGCTCTCTTCTTCAATTTTCTGGAGGGGTTTGAACAAAATTGGTATTATTTCTTCCTTAAATATTTAGTTGAATATACCTACGAGGCACTCTGGGGCCAGAGTTTTCTTTGTTGGAAGATTTTTTAACTACAAATTCAATTCCTTTAGTAAATATAGGGATATTCAGGTTATTTGTTTCTTCAGTGCGTTTTGGTAGTTGATGTCTTTAAAAAAGTTGTTCAGTTCATCAGAGTTACCAAATTTATTGGCATAAAGTTGTTCATGATATTCTCTTATTCTCCTGCTAATGTCGGTAGAATCCAGAGTGATGTTTCCCCTCTCATTCCTGATGTTTTTAATTTGTGTCTTCTCCTTTTTCCCTAAACAGACAGTCTAGAGATTTATCGATATCATTGATTTTCACAAAAGAACCACCTCTTGAGTCCATTGACTTTTCCCATTTGGTTCCATTGATTTCCACTCTTAGCTTTATTATTTCCTTTTGTCTGCCTACTTTGGATTTAATTTGTTCTTCTTTCTCTAATTTTTTTAAGTGAAAGCTTATGTGATTGATTTGAACATTTCTTCTTTTCCAAGATCTTCATTTGGTGCTATAAATTCCCCCAAACTACTTGGTTAGCAGCATCCCACACATTCTAATACACTGTGTTTTCATTTTCATTCTGTTCAGAATACTTTCCTATTTCCCTTCTGAGATTTTCTTTGACCCATTGGTTATTTAGAAATATTTAGCTTTCAAGTATTTAGGAATTTTCCAGAGATCCTTCTGTTACTGGTTTCTATTTTAATTTCACTGTGTCAGAGAACATAAAATATATGATTTAAATTATTTAACACTTACAGAGGCTTATTTTATGACCCAGGGTATGTTCTCTCTGGTAAATGTTCCATGTACACATGAAAAGAATGAGTATTCTGCCGTTGTTGGGTGGAACGTTCTATGAATGTCTGTTGTGTTGTTTGGTCTTTGGTTGTTTCAAGTGAGACGATAAATCTGGTCCTTGTTACTCCATCTTGGCTGGAACCAGAACCAAATCATCACTTTATTTAAAAATTTTTTTTTAATTTTTAAAGTTTATTTATTGATTTAGAGAGAGAGATTGAGAGAGAGAGAGAGAGAGAGCAAGCAAATGCAAGCAGGGGAGGGGCAGAGAAAGGGAGAGGGAGGATCCCAAGCAGGCTCCATGCTGTCAGCACAGAGCCTGATGTGGGTCTCGAACTCACAAACCATGAGATCATGACCTGAGCCAAACCAAGAGTTGGATGATTAACTGACTGAGCCACCCAGGCACCCCCCTGAATCACCACTTAAAAAAAAAAAATGTGACAGCTTTGTGTGTATACTGAAATGTGTACTTTAAGAAGGGCGAGGGGCACCTGGGTGGCTCAGTCGGTTAAGCGTCCAACTTCGGCTCAGGTCACGATCTGCCACGAGTTCGAGCCCCGCCCGGGTCGCCGACAGCTCGGCGCCTGATTCGCTTTGGATTCTCAGGTTCTCCTCTCTCTCTGCCCCTCCCACCACCGCAGCTTCAAAAATGAATAAACGTTAAAAAATTTTTTTCTTAGGAAGGGCAAATATTATGGTATTTGAATTATATCATAGTTTTAAAAACCACCATCCTTCAGGGCTTTGGCTGTAGTCCTGAAACTGAATCGTTCCCCAGGAACCAAGCACATTCCCGCCTCTGGGACTCTGCATTTGGTATTCTGTCTAGAACGTTCTTCCTTCAGCAATACATTCTCACCTTTGTGTAGGTCTCCACTCAAATGTTAAGTTTACCTAAGAAGTCTTCCCTGACCAAACCATCTGTACCAGCAGCCACCCCACCCCTGTCATTCTGTCTCCTTGTTAACTCTTTTTCTTTATTCTACCTTTTACTGGTAAACATATATTTGCTCCCTATATTTACTTGAGTTTTTATTGCTTCCCGATAAAATATAAATTTTTGAGAGCGGAGACTTTATTTACTGCTATATTCTCGGTGTCTAGATGACTGCTTGGCTCATCGTACGTCCTCAGTAAATGTGTGTGAAATGAATGTATGACTAAGTCCTGAACAGTATATGTGCAGTCACAGGTGTGAAGTGCTAGCTGTGTTATATAATGAATATCTATAACCACTAAAAGTTAAAACTTACATTTATGCACCTGCTAAAAATCATCTCATGCGTCACCCATTCGACTACATGCCGCATTTTGGGATATACGGAGTTAAAGAACTGTAAGCAGTTTCTTTACTGTGGGACTTAAGAGAATCTTCAATATACAAACATAATATTGGAAATGTATTGGTAGGATAGGTTGTCCTTAGGGTTTCCCAAAGGACCGCTGTTAGCACATCATTCTGGACTATTTCCACAGAAAACATCCCGAAAAACATGGCATAATACATGTAAGAGAGCAACATCATTGCCTGGTGCATAATTGGGACTTAATGAATATTAGTTCTCTATACAGCCGTATTGACTTCTCTAACTTTTTCTTAAAGTAACTTTGGGTATTAGATTCGTTTCTGAGGGGAAAAAAAGTTCCCAAGGGTGATTTTTAGGAAGATTTTGTGATAATGT